TTCATAAACAGTGGCTAGTTGGGTGAAATATGGTTATTGCTGGGTTTCTCCAAAGGAACTCCTACCTGTTCTCTACTTGTTAGTACTTTATCCCATAGAATACTCCCCCACTGTCATAATCCACTCCACCTTCACCCTCCCCCAGATCACATACAAGACAAGGTGGGAGTTGTAAATATCAGTAAACCTGCTGAATTGGAGAACCCACCAATAAAAGAGCTACCAACAAGTACAGCCCAAGTACAACAAGGGAGCCCACACAAATGGAAGAAAGGGCAACCCTACAGCATCCAGACAGGGAGATCAAAGAGACCTCACCACTGAGTCCCACAGAACTCCTACCACACAAATGCACCCTATGAAGACAGCTGGCAAATCAGAGCATCTGGAATTGTAGAATCAAACAAAAAGAGTCACATAAAATGGGAAGACAAAGAAAGAACCCTCAATTGAAAGGAATGGAAGACTCCCCACTAAAAGAGCTAAGTGAAATGAAGGCAAGCAAACTATCAGATATAGAATTCAAAAGAATGGTTATAAGGATGTTCAAGGAACCAACAGACAACTACAAGGAACTGAATGGGAACTATAACAGTATGAAAAAGGAAATAGAAACTATAAACAAGAACCAGAAAGAAATGAAGAATACAATATCTGAAATGAAAAATATACTAGAAGAAATTACAAGTAGTCTGGATGAAGCAGAGGATCAAATTACTGAGCTAGAAGACAAGGTAAAAACAAATACCTAGGTAAAGCACCTGCATGAAAGAAAACTAAAAAAATATGATGACAGATTAAGGGAACTGCAAGACAACATGAAATGCAACAAAATTCAAAACATAGGTATATCAGAAGGAGAAGAAAATGAGTGAGGCACAGAAACACTGTTTAAGAAAATAATAACAGATAATTCCCAAACCTTGAGATGGGAAAAGCCATGCAAGTTCAAGAAGCACCAAGGGTCCCAATCAAGAGGAACCCACAGAAGCCTACTCCAAGACACATCATAACTAAAATACCAAATTTTAAAGACAAAGAGAGAATCTTAAAAGCAGCAAGGGAGAAACAAGGAGTAACATAGAAGGGAGCTCTGATAAGGTTAGCAACTGATTTCTCAACAGAAACACTACAAGCCAGAAGAGAATGGAAAGAAATATTCCAAGTGATGTAAAGCAAAGGCCTTCAACCAAGACTGTTTACCCAGAAAGGCTCTCAATTAACATGGAAGGTGAAATAAGTAGTTTCTCAGACAAAAGTAGGCTAAAAGAACACAACTCCACCAAACCAGCACTGCAAGATATGTGGTTGCTAAAGCAACCACTTTAAGAAGAGGAAAAGAGTGAGAGACAGAACACAGGTAGAAAGAGGGACAATGAATAAGTACCTATCAGTAATAACTTTACAGGTAAATGGATTAAAAGCTCTAATCAGAAGACATAGAGTAGCAGAATGGAACATGACGCACACATATGCTGCCTACAAGAGACCCACCACACAACAAAAGACCTACACAGATGACCAGTGAGGGGTTGGAAAAAAATACTTCAAGCAAATGGGCAGCAAAAAGAAGCTGGTGTAGCAATACTTATGTAAGACAAAATAGACATGAAAACAAAGGCTATAAAAAGAGACACAGAGGGACACTTTATAATACTCAAGGGAAGAATCCATCAAGAAGACATAAACATTATAAACATACATGCACACAACATAGGAGCACCCAAATATATAAGGAAAATCTTGGAGGATTTCAAGAAAGATATTGACAGCAACACAGTTATACTGGGGGATATTAACACCCCACTGTCAAAAATGGATAACCCTTTCAAATAAAATATCAGTAAGTATGTTGCAGCATTGAAAATGTCCTTGATCGAATAGACTTAACTGGTATATATAGAACCTTTTATCCCAAAGAGGCAAAATACACATTCTTTTCAAATGCACATGGAGCATTTTCAAAGAGAGACCACATAATAGGACACAAAACAAGCCTCAACAACTTCAAGAAAATTGAACTCATACCATGCATTTTCTCAAGACCCCATCATAAAGGCCTGAAACTAGAAACCAATCCTAATGACAAAACTCAAAAACACTCAAATTCATGAAGATTTAATAACATGCTATTTAACAATGAATGGGTAAATAATGAGATCAAGGAAGAAATCAAAATGTTTCTGGAAACAAATGAAAATGAACACACAACAGTCCAAAACTTATGGGACACAGCAAAGGCCACCCTAAGAGAGAAGTTCATAGTGATACAGGCCTACCTAAAAAAGACAGAAACATTTCAAATAAACAACCTAATCCTACATCCACAAGAACTGGAGGAACAATAAACAAAACCCAGAATGAGGAGTAGGAATGAAATAACCAAGATCAGAGCAGGATTAAATGATATAGAGACTAAAAGAACAATCCAAAGGATCAATAAATCCAGGATCTGGTTCTTTGAAAAGGCAAACAAAATCAACAAGCCTTTAAGCAGACTCATCAAGAAAAAAATAGAGAGGATACAAATAAAATCAGAAATGAAAGAGGAGAGATTACAACTGATACCACAAAGGTACAAAGGATTATAAGAAATTACTATGAAGAACTGTATACCAAGAAACTTAAAAACTTGGGTGAAATGGACAGATTTCTAGAAAAATATTATCTCCCAAAACTGAATGAAGAAGAAGCAGAAAGCCTGAACAGATTGATAACACCTGGTGAAGTCAAAGCAGTAATCAAGAAACTCCCATCACACAAAAGCCCTGGACCAGATGATTTCACAAGATAATTTTACAAAACATTTAAGGAAGAGCAAAGACTCCCAAACTCTTTTTACAAAGCCAGCATCATCCTCATCCCAAAACCAGACAAAGCCACAACAAAGAAAGGAAATTATAGGCCAATATCACTGTTGATAGATGCTAAAATCTTCAATAAAAATAAGTTTTAAAAGTCATTATCCCACATTTTAATTGTTTTAGTTGGGAGAGTAATTCCATTTATTTAGTTTATTATACATCCAGAATTAAAAGTTCTTTTCCTTTTGAAATAAATAAATACAATATCTTCTGTTTATCATGCAGTATAACTTTTTTTTTAATACATCACCTGTTTTAGCTCAACACATTATTTTTCTTTATCTGAAATTTCATTATGCTAGTTGTTTTCTTGGGGGTCCTCCAACATTCAATGACTTGGCCTACCACAGCATTTAGCCTATGGTCATATTCACAGTTATGATTAGTTAAAAAAAACAATGCCGTAATAACAACAGAAGGATGCAAAGCATAATCAGCAAAGGGAAAAGGAACATAAGAAAAGCCTAGAGGAAACCAGGTATAAGGTTCCTAGTATTTTCTTTCAGTGGAATCACACAGGTTATGCTTAATTTCTCCAGCAATGAATTGTGACCTGTGTGAAAAGTTGACCAGATGCTCATTAGAGATTCAGTGACCAAGGTTTTTGTTGGGGGCTGGTTGCAGAGGCATTCTCTTTCTAACATATATCAAGGTTCAAGACTCCCAGAAGAAAAGCATGTGTTCAGTTTAAACCATATTATTTTCACAGTTTAGGTACAGTGAGCCACTCTTATTAGAGAGTGATGGGAATCTTACCAAAGCTTAAGTTCCCAGATGGCAGTCAAAGGTCAATCTTTAAGAGGCCTTTCTAAGGATAAGAGTCTCAAGCCAGCACAATTCTTTTCTGCATAATTACAAATACCAATTGTGAATTGTGAAAACCAATCAAATGATGATATTTGTGATAACATATTAAAAGTTAAGTTACCTTACAGTTAAAAATCTTAACTGTAAAGCTATAGTTATACTCTAAAATAATTTAATAGGGATGATATTCTAATGGTTCAGTTACAGGAGAAAAATATTGGAAGTATAATGGTTAATGCTTGTCTAAAAATATTCCTTAATCTTTTGGGAAGTGACTTAAAATTGCTATTGGAGAATTATCTACAAAATCTTTAATAGACCAATCTGTGGTTATTTGGTCACATATTTTTCTTAAAAAATTTTTTTTAAAAATATTTTATTTATTTATTTTTTAGAGGGGAAGGGAGGGAGAAAGAAAAAGAGGGAGAGAAACATCACTGTGTGGTTGCCTCTCATGCTCTCCCCACTAAGGACTTGGCTGGCAACCCAGCCATGTGCCCTGACTGGGAATTGAACTGGTGACCCTTTGATTTGCAGGTCAGCACTCAATCACTGAGCCACACAAGCCAGGGCTAACGTATTTTCTTATGTGAGTTCACAAAGAAAATCAATTTTCCTTTGTTTTTATGTATACAGTACAAGTCTTGCCACATGGTTAAGTGCACGAAGGACATGCTGCATGAATGAATGAATGAATGAATACCTCCTCCCCTTGACTTGATTTCAGAAGTGATTTGAAATCAACTTCTGCAGAAAGCATTGTTTATTTTTTTATTATTTTTTCAAGCAAAGGTAGTTTCTTAGTAGCTCTTCAACAAAGCATTCATTACTCACTTGCATACATTGAAGAACAAGAGTTTACATTGGTTCACAATGAATACTTAAGAAACTTAATTGTAAATCCATTTTGACTTGAACCGAGCACTACTTTCAACTCTATCCATGTCTCCAACACAACATTAACTATAAAATGGAGTGGAACACAAACATTAGAGTAAAAGGTAATCATTTTTAAACATTATGTCTTTTCTGACCATAATATTTAGCCAAACTGAACATCAGTTGTAACTGGATAGTAGAGGTAAGTACATCTCCCATTTTTTTTGTTATTCTAAGTTCTAACTGGTCACAATTTTATTTTATATCCCTTTTTAATATATACATTAGGCCATATTAATTTTCAATGTTCTCTTTACCTCCTGTTCAACCATTTCATGTTTAATTCATCTTCTATGATAGAATACAAGCTAAGACTATGTTTGACTATATTTGGGTGCTCCTTTTAGCACCCAAACAGAAATTGTATTACAGGAGAACTGTTAAACTTACCTTTACTGAAGAATGTGCTAACCATAAAGCCAAAGAAAATTGAAGCAATGGCATAACATACAAGAAAGACAAAGATGCAACTATAGTCACTGTAGCGGAAGATTGGTTCATTGGAAATCTAAAATAAAACAATATGACATAATATAAGGCATGCCATAAACACAAGGGAAAATGGAGAAAATGATAGCCCTAAAGAAACAGATCACACTGCTCATTGACTGAAGTTCATTGAGTTGAAAAGTTAACTAAATAACTTATTTCTTATGGAAGCATTTATGTTTTTTTTCTGAGGTTGAGCAGGCTATTGTTTCCATAGTGTCGATAATATAAGCCACATTTCCTCTTCCTGACAACCTGAGAACAGTTAGCCAATACTTGAGAGGGATTACTTTATCCCTCTCAAAGGTTAGATGCAGCAGGCTGCAATCAATGAGAACTAAGATGTCTAATACAGTAGACAACCACATGTAGCTACTGAGCACTTGAAAAGTAGTGTGACTGAAGAACTGAATTTTTATTATCATTTATTTTTAGTTATTTTAATTTATATAAAAATAGTGTCAAATACATATTAAGTATTTCTGATGAAAATACTACATATGGATTGGGATGTGTTTTAAGTAGAAAACATAAACTGCAGTTTGAAGACTTAGTACAGAAAGAAAGTAGTTACAGCATTGAACAACACAGACAAAGTCCGTAGGTTTATGGAGTTCATGTTCTCCATATTTCTCAACTCACCTTCCCCCATCAAGATGTAGAGTCTATTTATTCATCCCCTGGAATCTGGGTGCACTCTGTAGTTAGTAGTGATGAGATACCATGTCTTCACATGGTCTGATAGAAAGAACCCATGGAGAGGCCCTGAGACCATGTGGAAAGAGAGACCCAGCTTAGCCTAGCCTTTCAGACATGCCTGCCAAGGCACAGCCATCTGGGTGAAGCCATATGGGACTTGTCTGGCAAATACAGCCACTAACTGAATTCCACTAAGTGATTCTCCTCAACACTACATAGAGCAAAGAAATCATTCTGCGGAGCCTGCTCAAATTCCTGACCCACAAAATAATAAGGTATAAAATAGATGCTATTTCACTAAAAAATAGAAATAAAAAAGAATGTAAAATATTTTAATTTTCAAATTGGTTGCATGTTGAAATATTTTGTATATATGTTGAATTAAATTAAATATATTATAAAAATAATTTTACTTGTTCTTTTTACTCATTAAAATTTATAGTGACTACTAAAAACTTAAAATTACATATGTGACTAATTAAATTTCTGGACTGCACAAAATTAGACACTTGCCTTGGCAAAGAATAACACACATATCAAAGTGATAATAATCATATAAAAAAAGAAGACTGTGAAGAAATAGGAAGCCCAGATCATCCAGTTTCTAAGTCCAATTATGAGTTGGTACTCCTGTAGGAAAGTTAGCACAAATCAAATATTACAATATATCAGTAATTCATTCCTATTTAAACCTATATAAATAGGCAATATCATCTCTATTTTGTGAATGAGGAAAATCAATTCTCAGAAAGTCAATTGTTTTGATCAAAATTATACATTAATAAGAAATGTATTGACATTAAAATATATTTCCCCTGAGTCAGAGATCTTTTTTAATATTATACCTAGTATTGGACAAAAATGAAAAGCATTTCAAATTAAACTTTGAAATATCAAGATCTCTTTAATATTTTACTCTACTTTCAGGAGTATTAGAGAAATATATCTATGTTTTAAAAAATCCAATTATAAGTTAGAAGTCAGTTGTACTTCTTATGCTTGAGCTTTATAGCCAATGTGGCCTCCCCACCCACCCCATTGCTTTCAAGATTTTCTCTTTGTCTTTGGTTTTCAGCAGTTTGAATATAATATGTCTAGCTGTGTGTCTTTGTGGGTTACATTTATCCTGCTTTGTGTTCTCTGAGCTTCTTGAATCTGTGGTTGATATCTATCATTAATTTTGGAAAAATTATCTGCCATTATTTCTTTAGCTCTCTTCTCTCATATATTTTCCAAGTATGTACTTGTTATACCATTTGATATTGTCCTACCACTTTTGGATGCTTTTTTTCTGGATTTTTACATTTTGTCTTCTCTTTGCATTTCAGTTTGTGTAATTTCATCTGTCTTGTATTCAATTCTCTGATTCTTTCCTTATCAAGGTCAAGTCTGCTGATGAGTCTATCAAAAGCACTTTTCATTTTTGTTAGCATGTTTTTTATTTCTAGCAATTTCCTTTAACTTCTTATAGTTTTGCTGTCTGATAGCATTACCTATCTAATCTTTCATATTATCTACTGTGCAGAAAAGAGGTAACAAAGAAGGCTTGAGACTATTAGGAAGTCATGTTTTCAAGGTGGGTCCTTGGCTGAAATATGGGAACGTAGCTGTTAGTTGTACCCTAAACTTACAAAAATTTTCCCTAAATGTTAGGTGGATGACTGTGCCTAAACCATTTGTACAGACAAATGTATTCAGACCTCCTTATTAGGAGTTTGAAATGTTGGCACATGTTGGGCAAAGGGTGCCTATATGACCAGTCCCCAATCAAAACTTCGTATACTAAGTGTCTAGTGGACTTCCCTGGACAAGAACATCACAAACTTGTTGCTGGATTTTCATTGCTGGTGTAAGAGTATGCTCTGTGTGACCTCTTGTGAGGTTACTTGAGGAAGTCTGCAGGAAAATTCCTCCAGGCTTTGTCTATGTCATTTTCTCTCATGACCCAGCTACGGATATTTACTATACCACTATAATAAATTCCAGCTGTGAGTATAACTATATGCTGAGTCCCATGAATCCTACTGAATTTCAGAAAATGGTGGTGGTCTTGAGGATCCTGGACATGTATACCTTTCCCTTTAGAGCCTTTAAATCACTAATCATAGTAATTTAAAATTACTTGTCTGATACTCATCTGTGTCTTATCTGAGTCTGGTTCTGATGACTAATATACCTCTTTAGATGGTGTCTGCTTTTTAATTTTTGGTGTGCCTTGTAATTATTTGTTGAAAGCCAGACATGTTATCTAGGGTAGTAGATATCAAGATAAATAGGCCCAAAGTATAGGGATTTGTGTTTATTTAGTCAGGAGTTGAGTTTTGTTTGAATTCCCTGTTACTCTAGGTACTAAAGATTACAGATTCCCTAGTGACTATTCTATCTCCTTCCTTGCCTTCAGGTTTTTCCCTTCTGTTGCTTCCCAGAGACAGTTTGCCTCTGAAATTCTGCCAGCTTGTAAAATTGGTTAAGTTATATCACTTTCTGTTCTAGATTTGTTGCTACTGGGATGTAATTTGCTGCTACTGGGTGTAATTTCTACCTCCAATGAGGACTATGTAGAAATAATCTAACTGTCCATATAAAAGAACTCCACAGGCCTAAAAATATATTTATAGAAACTTTATCAGAAAAGAATTGGGATTACCTTCAATCCTTTTTCCTTTTCCCACACAATGAATCTCATGATGGAAAGTACAATTGGAGAGAACATGAGTATGAACATCAAAGGGAGAAAACCACTAATGCTCCAAATTAATCCATCGTGAGAATGAGCTGGGTGTGGAAACCTCTGTATAAAAATGCTAATGCCATCAAACAGCTTTTGTCTAGCACTGTTCTCATGATACAGCATGATGGCTTTATCTAAGGCATTCTGTACAGCCAGGAACCCTTCTCTGATGTACCCTGAATGAGAAAACATTGTCAAGTAAAATAGACTAAATAACAGCTCAGACACACAAAGAACAAGGCAATTCAAGTAAGTAATAGTTTGTTACCTACAGAACCTAAATTTACTGTTGTCTCAAGGACAATTGAACCTAATTATCCTGAGAACATATCATTGTTTTGAAACCAAAGGGATACTTCTTCAGCTGAATTTGATTTACGTCTTCCCCAAATTAAGTATATTTAATGAAAGTAACAGGTTTGCTAAATGCAATTTACTTTTACACAAAGAATGCAGATTTAATTAAACATCGGTGAGATAAAGACTTGAAAATGTAAAAAAAGAAATAAAGCCAAATTACAGATATATTCTAGTAAATTATGCAGAATGGCCCTAAGGAAAATTGTTTCACTGAAACTAAGTCAGCCATACAAGTAAAAGGCAGTTTAAGGTTTAAGTTGATTTTCTTCTACTAATTTTTAAAAAAAATATTTTATTTATTTATTTATTTATTTTTTAGAGAGAGGGGAAGGGAGGGAAAAAGAGAGGGAGAAAAACATTGGTGTGAGAAACATCAATCAGTTACCTCTTTATTTGCACCCGAACTGGTGACTAAACCTGCAGCTCAGACATATGCCTCACCAGGAATTGAACTGGTGACCTTTTGCTTCATGGCACTACACCCAACCAACTGAGCCACACTGGTCAGGGAAACTCATGGATTATTTAGACATATGTTGTTTAATGTCCAAATATTTGCCATTCTTCTAATTATAGTTAAATCTTAAACAACATGGTTTGAAATTCTTAGGTCCACTTACATTGGGTTTATTTTTCAATAATAACTACTGTTTTCTATCCATGAAAGCAGAGAGCCTATGGTATGCACTGATCTATGTCATTTTATATAGATGACTTAAGCATCTGTGGATTTTGGTACCCAATTCCCAAGGAAACACTAAGTTTGGGGGGAGTCAAAATTTATACACAGATTTTCAACTGCAGGGGGCTCAGTGCCCACATGATGTTGAAGGGTCAACTGTATCATATTGACCTCTGATTTAATTCAACCAAAGAACATACTCTATATGATTTCAATCTTTTTCATTTCAATGAGATATATTTTATAACACAGCATAAAATTATCATGGTGAAAGTACCATGTGCCCCTTTAAAAAGTGTATTTAACCACTGTTAAGTATTTGTTCTACAAACATCAATCAGTTCAGGGAAATTGAAAATGTTATGCATAAGCTGTATGTCTTATAATTGTTTAAATGTTCCAATAGTTATTGAGAAAATATTAATGTCTTCATCTATGAGTGTAGGATTGCCAAATTCTCCCTTTAATTCTGTGAAATTTTGCTTCATGTATTTTGAAACTCTATTATTAGATGCAGAAATATTTATAATTGTTATGTTTTCCTGACTAACAGGGTTTTTTTCTTTTTCTTTTATTTTATAAATTGTTTTTATAATTGTGGCTAAAACATACATAGTATAGAATTTACTATTTTAACCATTATTAAGTGTACAGCTGATTGGCATTTTTTATTAACTATTCTTATTGTTGTTCATTTACGATTGTCCCCATTTTACCCCCATTACCCTCCCCTGCCCTACCCATACCCACTTCCCACATTCAATCCTCTCCACCCCTTGTCTTTGTCCATGGGCCCTTTATACATGTTCCTTGACTTGCTCTTTCCATTCTTTCACCTGTTATTCCCCTTCTCCCTCCACTCTGGATAATGTAAAAACATTTAAATTGATAAAATGATATATAGACATGAGTGGGCAAGCAATGTCAATGAATTAAAATGTGTGTATTTGGAAAGTATAACACTAAACCACAACTACATAAAGATAGATATATTGATATAAGAACTGAAAGAGGATAAAGCATGACATTGATATATATATGTATGTGTGTGCATATATATATATAAATATATATATGAATTAGATACAAATATATATATATGAATTAGATTTACAACTATATGGGATTGAAGAGTTGTTTTGGTAGAATATAAATTTAATTTTTAAATTTACCACAAATTAATTTATATACATTACCACAAATATATTATATATATTTATACATATATACAAATAAAACCATATATATGTATATGTTCATATGTAATTGTGATAATAAAATAAGTATGTTAAGGATTCGCTCACCAGGACTTCCTCCATCATGGTCACTTGGGTTCCTAGGGCCTGAAGAAGGATAGATAGGAAAGAGCAAGGCTGTTTTCCACCCTGACAAGTCTGGCCACAAGATAGTCCTTTGTATCCTAACAAAACGCAGGTGATATTTTACCTAGAAGTAGTAATAGGAACACACTATGCTTAAAACCAAACAAACTGAAAAGCAGATATTAGAAATAAAGTTAAGACATAAGGAAAACCATGTGATTTGAAAGAGGATACTCATCTGATGTAAAAGTAACACTGAATGGCAGGAAATGACAGTGACCCCAAGCTTAACATATGCTCCAACCATATCTACACTTGAAGTCCTCTTAAAATGCAGACAGTTCACAAAAAACAAGATATACAAATGGTCCATAAATACATGAGAAGTTTTTCAATGTCAAACAATGAAATAAATGAAAATTAAAAACACAGAGGTATTTTTCTTACCTGTCACATGGAAAAATCAAAGTTTAACAACACCCTGTTAGCAAGGCTATAAACAAACAGGCACTTTAATTCACTGTTTGTGGGATGAAAAATGGCACAACTGCACTGGGGAATCTGGCAATGTTTAACAAAACAGTAAATATGCATTTACTGTTTCATTCAGTAATCCCACTTCCAGGAACAGACTTGAAATATGTATCTCCAACAATATGAAGAAAATGTATGTACAATTTTTTTGAAACATTATTTGTGGTGGAAACCTATTGAAATTAATTGCTCATACATAGGAGGAAACTGCATAAACTATAGTACCTCTACACAATAGAGACTTATGTATCTGTTTAAGGTATAGTCAGAAAATAGAAATCATACTAGATAACTGAAAGGGTAGGAAAATTCTAACATATCAGGTAACAGTAGACTGCAGCTACAAGCTCTATGACTAATGGAACAAAAATAAGAGTTTGGAATTACTAAAAATCATAAATTTAGATGAGAGATCCCGTGGGGCTAAAAACCAAATTTCTGAGGAGGCTACATAAATCGGCTAGTGCTCTATTTCAGACCATGAAAGAATGATCCTTTGGGATTGGGACCTAGGTTTCTGAGAAGGAGCTCCATTTGCCTAGCACTGGTTATCTTTGAGAGGGTGTGTTGAGGCTGATTGGAAAAATGTTGGAAAAACTGCAATATTTATTTGGCTGCTATTATGGGAAGAAAATGCTACTAGCTCTCAAAAAAGTATTGCTGGGATGTCATTTACAGGAACTACAGGCAGACAGAAAGCCGATAGGAAAGATCACATTTCTTCCCCCAGAGCCTCATACAGAGGTGGCAGAAAGAACAGAAAAATAGCTACAGCATCAAAGAATGTCAAGAATAGATTTATAGTCTAAAAGAGACTTACTAACAAATATGCTACCTTGTGCATAAAAAAGAAAAATGAGGTATACATACATATGTAATTTATACTATATAGTATATATTAACTTAAAAGTATATATCACCATGTATTTATATATAATACCTGTGTAATTTGTATTATCAATACATTTAATCTTTGGATGGATTGCAAAGGAAGTTGAAGACATCAGTATACTTCCACCATGATACTTCAGCATTTACTAGAATCTAATACTTTATAGTTCTTATTTGAGGTAAAATTTACATACAATAAAATGCACAAATCTTTTTAAACTTTTTATTTATTACATTTTTTTCAATTACAATTTACATTCAATATTATTTTGATTTAGTTTCAGGTGTAGAGAAGAATGCAGCCACTATGGAAAATTAACTGTACATCTGCTTAACTATACATGAGTTTTGATAAATGCAGCTTTTGTAATCCAAACCACTTACAAGATAAATAATGCCCTCACCCCAGAAAGGTCTCTCATGATCTTTTCCAGTTGATACATAACATTCCCTCACAGACAAAATTTTTCTGATTTCACCATAGATTAATATTGCCTGTTATAGATTTCATATAAATGAAAACTCACAAGTATTGTACTCTGTTTCATAAGGCTTCTTTTTATTTAGAAAGATGCTTCTGAGGTTTTTGCCAGTGAGCAATATTCCAAAGTACAAATAAAACAGAGGGCATTAATTTTCTGGTTGATGTATACTTGACTCCAATATTTGGCTATTATGAATATTCTTGCAAAATTCTCTTTGTGAAAATATGTTTTCCTTTCTTTAGGGTAAATTCATAGGAGTGCAACTAATGGACCATATAGGGTAGATATGTGTTTAGTTTTGTTTGAACAAACAAATGACAGACATTTTTCTAAACTGATCATACTACTTTACAATCCCACCAACAGTGGCTTCTCATCCTCACCAACATTTGCTATTGTCATACTGTAATTTTAACCTTTCTAGAGAAGGGTAGAAGTATGACATTGTGGTTTAAATTTGCATTTTCCTGATGTATAATGATATTACACAGTTTTTCATGTCTTTTTTGTTAGAAAATTCTTTTTTTTACTATTTGGGGACACAAGCACAGCCAATCAGTGATAAGAATGCAAGCTGAAATGGCACTGAAGATACTTTGAGCCAATGTACATTGTTGAACCTAAATCTATATCACCACATGGATAATTCTGACTCAGTAAATGGAAGAAAGTTGACACAGAAAAATAGTGTCATGAAAGGATGGGACACACAGAAATAACACATAATATTCCACTAATGGTTTTATGAAACTTGCTTTCTACTGACAAGCATCTGTATTCTAAACACAGAATTTGTCTCAATGTCTACATATTATAAATTGACCATTATTTCCACCAGAGTCAGGATATAATGTCTACAGGATCTTCTAAGGAGGACTTCTAGTCAAGATGGAGGTGTAGGTAGACACACTGTGTCTTTTCGCATAACCAAAATAAGAATAACAACAATTTAAAAATAAAACAAAACAAAACAAAACAAAACCCAGTACTGACAGAAAATTGAACTGTATGGAAGTCTGACAACCAAGGACTTAAAGTAGACGTATCCATCCAGACCATTAGGAGGGGCGGAGTCAGGGAGAGAGGACAGAGAGGGCTCAGGCAGGGTGGTAGGTGGACCCCCAAACAGGCACACAAATAGGCAACTGGCAGACCCAGCAAGGCGGCGGATTGTGGAGGGGGGCGGTGTGTCCAGTCCCACATTTGCATGCAGATAAATCAGATGAAACTGGGGAGCGAGACAGACCATGCAACCCAGGGCCCTAGCTCGGGAAAATAAAGCCTCAAACCACTGCCTGAAAACACCTGTGGGGGTTGAGGTGCTGGGAGAGACTCCCAGCCTCACAAGAGAGTTTGTTGGACAAACCCACAGGGTCCCAGGATGGACACAAACCTACCCACATGGGAATCAGCAACAGAAGGACCCAATTTGCTTGCAGGAAGCAGAGGAAGTGACTGAAATCCGGCAGAGATGGGAGCAAGCACCATTGTTCCCTCTCGGATCCCTCTCCCACATATAGCATCACAACCCAGCAATGTGAGTTGCCCCACCTGGGTGAACACCTAAGGCTCCACCCCTCACTCTGTAACAGACATGTCAAGACAAAAAAAAAATGGCCCAAATGAAAGAACAGATCAAAACTCCAGAAAAAATACAACTAAGCAATGAAGAGATGGCCAACCTATCAGATGCACAGTTCAAAACACTGGTAATCAAGGTGCTCACAGAATTGATTGAATTTGGTTGCAAATTAGATGAAAAAAATGAAGGCTATGCTAAGTGAAATAAAGGAAAATGTACAGGGAACCAATAGTAATGGGAAGGAAACTGGGACTCAAAACAATAGAATGGACCAGAAGGAAGAAAGAAACATCCAATCAGAAGAGAATGAAGAAACCAGAATTCAAAAAAATGAGGAAAGGCTTAGGAACCTCCAGGACATCTTTAAATGTTCCAACATCTGAATTATAGGGTACCAGAAGGAGAAGAGGTAGAGCAACAAGTGGAAAAATTATTTCAACAAATAATAAAGGAGAACTTCCCCATTCTGGCAAAGGAAATAGACTTCCAGAAAGTCCAGGAAGCTCAGGGAGTCCCAAAGAAGTTGGACCCAAGGAGGAACACACCAAGGCACATCATAATTACATTACCCAAGATTAAAGATAAGGAGAGAATCTTAAAAGCAGTGAGACAAAACGAGAGAGTTACCTACAAAGGAGTTCCCATCAGACTGTCAGCTGATTTCTCAAAAGAAAATCCTTACAGGCAAGAAGGGGCTGGAAAGAAGTGTTACAAGACATGAAAAGCAAAGACCTACATCCAAGATTGCTCTGTACAGCAAAGCTTTAATTTAGAATGGAAGGGCAGATAAAGTGCTTCTCAGATAAGGTTAAGTTAGAGGAGTTCATCATCACCAAGCCTTTATGTTATGAAATGTTAAAGGTACTTATCTAGGCAAAAGAAGATAAAAAAAACATGTACAGAAAAGTGATAGCACACTTACAATTATTAACAACTACACCTAAAACAAAAACAAACTAAGCAAACAACTAGGACACGAACAGAACCACAGAAATGGAGATCACATGGAGGGTTATCAACAGGGGAGTGGGAGGAGGAGAGAGGGGAGAAAGGTACACAGAATAAGTAGCATAGATGGCAGGTAGAAAATAGACAGGGAGAGGGTAAGAATAGTATGGGAAATGAAGAAGACAATAATTTATAAGTATGACACATGGACATGAACTAAAGGGGGGAATGTGGGTGGGAGAGGGTGTGCAGGGTGGAGGGGAGTAAAGCAGGGAAAATGGGACAACTATAATAGCATAATCAATAAAATATTTTTTAAAAATCTTCTAAGGAGATACAAAGTTCAAAGCACTGTCATTCTCTCTCCTTCCCATTGGCTATGCTATCATTAGATTTTTAATGCCAACGAATATCCTAATTCTCAATCAGTGGGGATGAGCCTTAGTGTTTTCCTAGAGATTTATTAAAAAAATTACACTCTGTGTTTTATTCAAATAAAGAGGAGTATTTCCGTCTCTGGTTTTTTGAAGATGCATCTGTATTAGGCTTATTTATTGTACCATGCTTTGAAGAACAAGAAGCATTGCTTGAATAGTCAAAGTTTGTCATGAATCTAAGGCCCTGTGTATGAAAGATGCAATTCTTGCCTTATTTGCATCATGCAGTAATTAAGAGCACAGGCATTAAAGTTACTCAGATCTGGATTCATATTCTTGCTCTACTGCATATCTGTAGTTTTATCTTGGAAAAATTAGTTTATTCATTTATAAAATAGGGTTAGTTATATCAAATTCATTGAAAAACTTTCTCACCTGAAGTGGCAGAGGGTCATTGCTGTTTTTGAAGTCATTGTCAAAAACAATGGCAGCCAGCACTTTGTGAGACCTAGAGTCATATTTCACATACTTCTCAAACTCAGTTTCTGAAGAAAAGCCTTGCACTGTAAAGAGGCAAAATTATTTACCTAAGTAAGATTGTCTGATAATTCCTCATGAGAGTGGAGGCACTACTTTACATAGACAAAGCCTATCGAAATACTATAAATTTTAACACACTGTTTCTCAAATATTGTAATCAAAACTACTTAAAAGTACTTAGGGTTCACAACAATTTTAGGTATTGTATAAAGTTCTACTACAGCTTTATATAATAATCATTATAAAACATATGTAAAAGTAAGTCATCAGGAAAACACAAATCATTATCACAATGAGATACCACTTCACATCTATTGAGATGGTTATGATAAAAAGGACAGATGATAACAAGTGCTGGTAAGGGTGTTGAAAATTTGGACCAGAATTTAAATGGTACAACAACTTTACATAAGTCTGGTAGTCCCTCAAAAAGTCAAACATGAACTTACCATATGAGGTACTCATTCTATTCCTAGGTATACACTAAAGAAAAGTATAAATATATGTCTACATAAAACTAATAGATGCCTATTCACAGAAGTATAATTTATAGTGGCCCAAAGATGGAACAACCCACCAACTTGATAAAAGATATGCCAACCAATGCAGAACGTCCATGCAATGGGATATTATTTGGCAATGAAAAGGAATGAAGCAATGATACATGCTACAACATGAACTTTGAAAACATGCTAAGTCAAAGAAGTCAGTCACAAAAGATTACATATGGTACTTATACAAAATATATATAAAGGGTTTGTATATAAACCATTCATATAAAAGGTTTATAATAGGGTGAAGGGTTCACAGGAACAACTATAAAGGACACATGGACAAAAACAAGGGGGGTGGAAACAGGGGAGGGATGTGGGGATGGCTGGGGTGGTGGGGAGGGGTGGGGAAAAAGTCAGAAAACTGTACTTAAAGAAAAATAAAACTCAAAAGTATTTAATAAAAAATTAAGTAAATAAAAGACTTATAATAGGCAATTCTATAGGGACAGAAAATAGATTTTAGTGTTTTCCTAATCCTGGTAAAGACAGAAAATTATGGTGTCATGGCTGAAGGTTACTGGACTTATTTTTGGTGACAAAAGTGCTCTAAAACTGATTGTGGTCATGGTTGCACAACTCTGGAAATATGCTAAAAGCCAATAAATTATTGTACACTTTAAATGAGTGAATGTATGATATGCACATTATGTGTTTTAAAAAAAACTCAAGATAGCCCTGACAAGTGTGGCCCAGTTGGTTGGGTGTTGTCCCACAAAGTGAAAGGTTGATGATTCAATTTCTGGTCAGAGCACATGCCTAGGTTGTGGGTTTGGTCCAGGTTGGGCTGTGTATGAGAGGCAACCAATGGATGTTTCTCTCTCTCTCTTTTTCTCTCCCTTCCACTACCTCTAAGAAAAAATACAACAAGATAAATCAATGGGTGGAAATCACTTCAAACTGTGCTTTTAAAAAAAAACAATATGGCTTGCTAACTGTATGGAGATAGCAGAGGAAGGAGTCAGCCAAGACAGATCAGAAGAAATTTACTACTCTAAATAACAGAGAAAAAATTGGAAAGAAATTGAAGAGCACTTCAAAGACCATTGGGACAATACAAAATGCCTAGTATTGATATTATCATAGTTCTAGGAGAAAAGAAAGAATGTCATGTTGAAAAACAATTTTTAGAAATAAATGTTGAAAATCCTCCAAATTTGGTGAAAGAAACTTACAGATTCTAAAGGCTCAGTGAACTGTATATACTAGAATAAACCAAAATAAATCCATGCTTAGATACATCATAATCAAACTTTTGACAAGAAAGAAAACATCTTAACAGCAACTAGAGAGAAATGACACATTGTCTATAAGAAAGCAAGGACTGAAATGACTGAAGAATTTCATTAGATGATGTCCCATTTGTTTATTTTTCCCTTTATGTCCCTTGCTTTAGGGGACATATCCATGGAGATGTTGCTGCATGGAATGTCTGAGATGGGCAAAAGACTTGAACAGACACTTCTCCAAGGAGGGCATACAGAGGACCCAGAGACACATGAAAAGATGCTCAGTATCACTAGCCATCAGAGAGATGCAAATTAAAACCACAATGAGATACCACCTCACATCAGTCAGAATGACCATCATAAACAAATCAACAAACAAGTGTTGGAGAGGATGAGGAGAAAAGGGAACTCTAGTGCACTGTTGATGAGAATGCAGACTGGTGCAGTCACTGCAGAAAACAGTATGGAATTTCCTCAGAAAACTAAAAATGGAACTGCCTTTTGACCCAGCAATTCTGCTGCTGAGATTATATCCTAAGAGCCCTGAAACACGAATCCAAAAGAACCTATGCACCCCAATATTCATAGCAGCACAATTTACAATAGCCAAGTGCTGGAAGCAACCTAGGTGCCCATCAGCAAATGAGTGGGTCACAAAACGATGGTACATTTATACAATGGAATTCTACGCAGCAGAGAGAAAGGAGCTTATACTCTTTGTGACAGCATGGATGGAAATGGAGAGCATTATGCTAAGTGAAATAAGCCAGGAGGTGAGGGACAAATATCATATGATCTCACCTTTAACTGGAACATAATCAACAAAAGAAGAATCTAACAATAGCCAGAAGGCAGTGGGGAGGGGACAGTGGGGGGAAGGCTCTTCAGGAACTACTATAAAAGACACAGAGACAAAACCAAGGGGGAGGGTGGAAGCAAGGGAGGGAAGTTGGTTTTGAGGGGGTGGTGAGGGGAGGGGTGGGGAAAAATACAGACAACTGTAATTGAACAACAATAAAATAATAAAAAAATAAAATGATGCTACTATTATGAAAAAAAATGACTGAAGAATTTTTCCTCTGAGGCCAAGGAGGTCAGAAGAAAGTGGCAAATACTTTTTAAATGTTGAAAGAAACAACTGTCAATCCAGAATTCTATACCAAATGAAAATAACTTCAAGATCATAAAGTTGAAATAAATACATTCTCAGATGAAGGAACACAACAGAATTCATTGCTAGTAGACCTGCTTTTAAGAAATTATTAAAGGAAATTCTTCAGAAAGAAATAATATGATATGAGAAGAAAACTTGTAACTTTGAAAATGAAGGAAGAGAACAGCTATGGTAAATGTTTGGGCAAATAGTTTTCTTAAGCTTTTAATTATATGTGTGTGCATTATAACTTTTCCTCATGAAGTTTTCAACTTACATAAATTTGCAACCTACAACTTAAAGAGAAAAATATAAAGGGAACTATAAACTGGTAATCATTTGATACACTGGTAAAATATTACTTCTAAATAGAGTGTGAAAGTTAAGTATGCACATTTTAACTCCAAGAGCAACCACTAATAATAGTATATAGTAGAAATTCAGTTTATCCATTTTTTTCCTTCATGGATAATCCATCTGTTGTCATGTCAGAGAATTCTTCAACTAACTCTAAGATACAAAAATTTTTTCTCTCTAAATGTTTTATCGCTTTTGGATCTAATTAATTTTGATGCAATTTTTACATAAGGTGTGGTTTTATTATTTTATCTATTGATATCCAATTGTTCAGCACATTTGTTGAAAAGATTATTCTTCCACTAAATTATTTTGCACCATCATAAAATAATATTTTGACCTATTTGTGTAGGTCTGTCTCTTGGTTCTTTGATCTGTGTGTCTATCCCTATGCCAATAGCACTTATAACTACAATTATAAGTCTTAAAATTGAGGAGTGTAATTCCTCCAACTTTATTCTTTCTAAAGTGCTTTAGCTCTATCAAAAACAATTTAAGAATAAATTTTACAGAAAACCTTAGTTTCTAACCTTTTATACTGATGTTTAAATTCCTCTTCATACTCTCAGTGATCTCTTTTACCACATTAATATTAGAAGGCACGTAAATCAATTCCCACTCTTCAGGATTTTTGAGGAAAGAAGGCAGACTACTGATGGGTTGAGGATTAAAATTGTGAGATCCAATAACATTTATATTAGTAAGTGCACGGAATAGCAAAAGCAACATTGGAAACACCAATGCTGTTAAGACTTCCAATATTAAATTAATGAACTGCCTTCTCTAGAAGAGGAACAAAAAGATGGTGTTAATTAACTTAGGAGTACACATTCAATGCCAATGGATAGCTCTATTGTATTAAGCTTCTGCCAATTTCACTCTGGAAAAGCCAGTGTTTCCTGGACTGTCTTTTACCACCTCTCCTTTCCACTACGAACCTTCTTATAAGTCTATGCTTATAAGACTATACTACTAACTAATTCAGTTTTATAGATTTGGAAGAGCTACTTAGAGGCATGAAATTGATTTTTCAAACACATACAACACACATCCTGAACTGCAACAAATGGGCATTTACTTTTCAATGGTGCTTTTACCTACCTTTATAGTAAAATTTTTCCAGAGAAGCACCGCAAACTGTTTGAATGTCAACAAATCCATTCTTGTACAAACAGTGTATGTTCAACTCCAGGTATGGAGAAGAGGTTTTGTAATATTAAGTTACCTAATAATGTAAAGATCAAGCAAATAACAGTATTACTTCTTTCTCCTAATTTTCTCTGTATTTGGATTTAAAGATTGATAGCAAGAATAACTATGTATTTGAAATAAAGACAATTATATTGTTTCTATTTTTCTATTAATTTACTTAATACCTAATAAAGTTCCAACATGTTTAAAACACAATATAATAGATAAATAAATAACATAAGATGTGGTTCTATTTAACCAGAACCTGACATTTACTTTTCCTATTCCAGTTTCCAGGACCAGATAACTTCACAGGTAAATTGTACCAAATGTTTATATAAGAATAATAACAATCCTCTCCAAGTATTTCCCAAACATTATAGATAAGGCAACACTTCCAAACTCAATTTAGGAGGCCACCATCAATTACCTTGATACCCAGAAAAGAAACAACAGGCTAATATCCCTGATAAACAAAGATAAAAAAATCTTCAAAATATTCAAACTGACTTCAACAGCACATTAAAGAAATTACATATCATGATCAAGTAAAATTTATCTCTGGTATGTAAGGATGATTCAGCATATGAAAATCATTAAATGTGATATAACATTAATAGAATGAAGGAGTAATGTCATATGATCATCTAAATTGATACAGAAAAAGCATTCACCTTTTCATAATAAAAACACTGGACAAATTAGAGATACAAGGAAGGTTCCTCAAATGATAAAGGCCATATATGAGGAGCCCACAATGACATCATATTCAACAGTGAGAAACTGAAAGCTTTTTCCTCATAGATCTCAAGTAAGGCAAAGATGCCCACACTTGTCGTTTCTATTCAACAGTTCTGGAAGTCCTGATGAATATAATTCAAGATAAGGAAATAAAATACATCCAAATCAGAAAGACATATGTAAAAATGTCTTTGCTCACAGGTGACAGAATCTTATGTACCTAAAACCCTAGAGATCACACAAAAAAACCTGTTAGAACTAACAAAACTAACAGAACTAATTAAATGAATTCAGCAAACTTGTAGGTCACAAAATCAACACAGAAACATAAATTGAGTTTCTACAGACCAATACCATAGATAAAAAGGAAATTAAGAAAATAATCCCATCTACATTTACACTAGCACCAAATACAATAAAATATTTAGAAATAAACAACCAAAAAGATAGAAGACTTGTACATTGAAAATTATAAAACTGGGTTCTGGCCAAGATGGAGGCATAGGTAGAAACCCTTCTTCACACAACCAAATGAGGATAACAACCAATCTAAAATCAATAAACAACCAGAAGTGCCAGAAAATCAAACTGCATGAAGCTCCAACAACCAAGGAATGAAAGAAACACTACAAACAAAACAACCAGACTGGTGAGAACCTGTGGTGAGGCGGTGGACCCCACGGGCAGTGGGGCTGCTCAGAGCTGACTGTGGACTAGAGGGGTTGCCCCAGTGGGAGAAACTCCCAGTCTCACATGAGAGTTAGTTGGAAAGTGGGCTAGAGATGAGCTGGCAAGCTTCATTGTTCCCTCTCTGGCCCCTCCCCCACAAGCAGTTCTGCAGCACAGCAAGGAGGGTTGCCCTGTCTTGGTGAAAACCTAGGGCTCTTCCCCCTTACAACTTAATGGGTACATGGAGACAAAGAATTAGGGCCCAAATGAAAAAACAGAGCATAGCTTCAGAAAGAGAGCTAAGCGATGAGGAGAAAGCCAACCTATCTGATGGAGAATTTAAATCCCTGGTAATCAAAATGCTCACAGAACTGATTGAGCTTGGTCGAAAAATGAAAACACAAATACAAGATTCCCACATTGAAATAAAGCAAAACATGCAGGGACCCAACAGTGAAGGGAAGGAAACTGGGACTCAAATCAACAATTTGGAACAAAAGGAAGAGATAAAGATTCAACTGGAACAGAATGAAGAAACAAGAACTCCCAAAAATGAAGAGAGGCTGAGGAATCTCTGGGACAACCTGAAACATTCCAATATCTGAATTATAGAGGTGCCAGAAGGAGAAGAACAACAGCAAGAAAATGAAAACTTATTTGAACAAATAATGAAGGAAAACTTCCCCAATCTGGCAAAGGAAATAGACTTCCAGGAAATCCAGGAAGCTCAGAGAGTCCCAAAGAAGTTGGACCCGAGGAGGAACACACCAAGGCAGAATACCATTAAGTTACCCAAGATTACATAGACAGACAATCCTAAAAACAGCCAGAGGAAAGGAAAGAGTAACCTACAAAGGAGTGCCCATAAGATTATCAGCTGATTTCTCAATAAAAATCTTGCAGGCAAGAAGGGGCTGGAAAGAAGTATTTGAAGTCATGAAAGGCGAGGGACTACATCCAAGTTTGCTATATCCAGAAAAGCTTTCATTTAGAATGGTAGGGCAGATAAAGTGCTTCCCAGATAAGGTCAAGTTAAAGTTCATCATCACCAAGCCATTATTATATGAAATGTTAAAGGGACTTATCTAAGAAAAAGATAAAAATATGAACAGTAAAATGACAACAAACTCACAACTATCAACAAATGAACCTAAAAGAAGAGAAACAATGAAAACAAAAGCTAAGCAAACAACTAGAACAGGAACAGAATCAGAGAAATGGACATCACATGGAGGGATTTCAGTGGGGAGCAGGAAGGGAGGAATTGGGGGAAAGGTATGGGGAAGAAGCTGCATAATTGGTAGGCATTAAATAGATAGTGAGAGGTGAAAAATGGTATAGGAAAGAGAGCACTCAAAGAACTTATACGTATAATCCATGGACATGAACTAAGAGGGGGTGAATGCTGGAGGATGGGGGAGTGCAGGGTGGAGGAGGGGATAAAGGGGGAGAAATTGGGAAAATTTTAATAGCATAATTAAAATATGCATAATTTAAAATAGCATAATTAAAATATACTTAAAGAAAGAAAATTATAAAACTGATGAAAGAAGCAGAGCTGAAAGAAGTAAATGGAAAGATGTCCTGTGATCATCCCCAGGTGATGTTCTAAATCTTCATTTAGAATTGTTAAAATGTTCATACTACCTAAAAGGATCTATAAATTAAATAAAAACTCTATCAAAATTCCACAGACATTTTTAAAATACATTTTTTTGTTTATGCTATTACAGTTGTCTCACTTTTTCTTATTTTGCCCCTCCTCCACCCAGCCTGACACCTACTTCCATAGTCAATACCCACTGTTGTCCATGACGATGAGTGATACATATATATTCTTTGACTAATCCCTTCACGTTTTTTAATTAGCCTCAACCTCTGCCTTCCCCACTTATTGCTGTCAGTCTGTTTCATGACTCTATGCCTCTGGGTCTACTTGGCTCATTAGTTTATTTAGTTCAATAGATTCCTCTTATATGTTAGATCATATGGTATTTGTCTTTACTGACTGTCTTATTTTATTTCTCATAGTAGTTTCCAGTTCTATCCATCCTGTCACAAAAGGTAGGAATTCATTGCTTTTTCTGCTGCATAGTACTCCATAGATATACCACAGTATTTTATCCACTCATGTACTGATGGACACTTAGGCTATTTTCAACTCTTGGCTATTGAAAATAGCACAGCTATGAACATGGGGGTGTATAAGCTCTTTAAATAAGTATTTCTGGATTCTTAGGGTATATTCCCAGCAGTGGAATTGCTGTGTCAAAAAGTAGTTCCACTTTTAATTTTCTGAGGAAATTCCATACTGTTGTCCACAGTGGTTACACCAATCTCCATTCCCTTCATAGTATAGTCAAATTTTCTTTTATCCACATTTTCATCAGCATTTATTTCTTGATTTGTTAATGATAGGCATCTTGACAGGTGTGAAGTGGTACCTCTTTGAAGTTTTAATTAGCATCTCTCTGATACCTAGTGATCTTGAGAATCTTTTCAAATGTCTCTTGGTCCTCGTACATCCTCCTTGGAAAAGTGTCTTTCCAGGTCCTTTACTCATTTTTTAAATTGGGAATATAAATTCTTTTTTTTGTATTTTATTTTACTTTTCTAATTGTTGCTCAGAAACAGTTGTTTCCATTTCCCACCCCAACACCTCCCATTCCCCCATATCCACCTCCCATCCTCAATCCTACTCCTTTTGGCTTTGTCCAGGTGTCCTTCATGCATGTACCTTGACAACCCTTTCCCCTTTTTCCTCTATTATCCCTCTCCCTCCTCCCCTCTAGATACTGTAAGTTTGTTCTTTATTTCAATGTCTCTGGCTATATTTTGCTTGTTGTTTGTTTTGTTGACTGGCTTCACTTATATGTGAGATCATATGGAATTTGTATTTCACTGCCTGACAAATTTTACTTAGCATAATTCTCTGCAGATCCATCTGTGCTGTTCCAAGAGGAAAGAGCTCCTTCTTTCTTTCTGCTTCTTAGTATTCCATTGTGTAAATGTACCACTGTTTTTGATCCATTCATTTACTGATGGGCACTTAGGTTGCTTCCAGCACTTGGCTATTGTAAATAATGCTGCTATAAACATTGGGGTGCATAGGTTCTTTTGAGTTGGTGTTTCAGGATTCTTAGGGTATAGTCCCAGCAGTCAAATTGCTAGGTCAAAAGGCAGTTCCATTTTTAGTTTTCTGAGAAAATTTCAAACTGTTATCCACAGTGGCTTCACCAGATTGCATTTCTATCAACAGTGTACTAGGATTCGCTCTTCTCTACAACCTTGCCAGCAATTGTTGTTTGTTGCTTTATGATGGCCATTCTGGCTGGTGTGAAGTGGTATCTCATTGTGGTTTTCATTTGCATCTCTCTGATGGCTAGTGATGCTGACCATCCTTTAATACAACTCTGGGTCCTCTATATGTCCTCCTTGGAGAAGTGTCTGTTCAAGTCCTTTGCTGAGTTTTCACTTGGGCTGTTGGTCTTCCTAGAGTGGAGTCGTGTGAGTTCTTTACATACTTTGGAGATCAAGCCCTACTCCAAGGTATCATTGGT